CAAAAGTGGCATATTTGACCAATTAGATTTAGCTATTGATCCCAAACATTTTAGAAGAGAAGATTGATTATGTTCTCTATGTTTGAATTTTTGTTTATATTCAAGAATAGAAGATTCAAAAGATTGATTATGTTTTCTATGTGTGGCAATTAGATTCTATATCTAAAACAAAAACATTAAACACTTGATCAGCCACTAAATCCAAATATGCAGTATGTAATTAGTTTTCCACATTTCTGTTAAAAAGATAACAAAATAAATTATTGTCAAAAAGATAACAAAGTAAATACACATCAAACCAGAGAGTGAAATTCTGAAAAATGCTCTTGACTAACCAACTCAAGATTAGATTCCACAAATGGAATTAGTATCCAAAGATGAAATCGACCGAAAAATATGATTTAATAACTGAACAATTGGCATGCTTTGTGGAGAAGCTCTAACAAAGACACATCTTTCTTTTTTCCTCTCTTTGTCACGTTTATTGATGGATCCATCAATGCCACAACCACACCATGTATCTACTGAGACCAGTGTCTCTTACACAGTGAAGGCAATATCAATGCTACCTTCTCTATGGTATCAGTGTCTCTTATACAAAGCGAAAGCAATATATATCAGTGCTATCATCTCTCAGTTTCTAGCTTGATCCGTCTCGAAAATACCTATCAATGCTGGTAAAATATTTGCTTTGACTATCTTAGCTTTAGTGTCTAGGTTACTTGTACGGTTTGAGATTATTGTCTAAACTTCATCAACACTTAAGCCTCTTAACCAATGCAACAGCTATATTATCTTTAATTGCTCTGTTGAGTGAGATAATAATTTTATATAATCATGAGTAAGTCCACGCTTCACGAATGAATTATTCCATTATATTTTAACATATGACTAGATTTTGACCCGCGCAACCGCGCGGGTGTTTGTTTTCGTTTATTATTAGTTATATAACATTTTGTTATCACTTGTAAATTGGTATATATTATAGTAATCACATATTTACGATATGTATAGTAAATGTTTTTCATACATAATAATGTTATATAATAAGTGTTTTAATCAAATAGATTGTTTCAAATTTTCTATATGATACATGTTTTTCAAACATGTGTTTGTTTCTTCTTCTATATTTTATTTTTTGTTAGATTAGTATAAAATAATATAAATAGAGCTTGATTAAATATTAGTATACTTTAATTTGCAAAGATAATATAAACTTCGAAGAAATGTTTGCTAAAAACTAAACTTATAGCTTCATAAATTAATATTATAAATAATTTTATTAAAAAAGAATTTTTTAAACATTTTCTTTTTTTTTAAACATTATAATTTTAAAAATTTAAATCAAAATAAATTTATCTAATATATATAGTGTGTAAATTTTGTTAGGGTATATAAATATTTCATATTACTAATCTGGGATTTTTGTTAATATATTGTGGATGCATTTAACTATTATTGACATATTTCCTTATAAATAATAGAAGATTCCTAAACTTATATGTATTGACATATTTTGCGTGACTAAGTTAGAAGGTGTGGGGTAATTTACCAAAATCAAATTGTTAAGCGTATCTTCGTTATTATAGATATGATTTCTCATAAGATATAATAATGATGAGATTATTAAAAAGTTATTGTAACATAACTTTCTAGTAATAGTCCACTTTTAAAAAAATCACACATGAAGTCAAGTCATGACTTCTGTTTTAATATATAAGATTTTAGTTTAAATAATTTTTATGTTTTAAGTGAATTACAATTTTTAATTTGTTCTTACAATTTTTTTATCATTTTTTCAGTTGAACTTGTTTTTTGTAAAATATTTGATGTCAGTTTTATTACTACTAAATAGTTTTTATAATAGAATTATTCTCATTATTAATGAAAATATGTTTTATTTCTGTTATGCCAGTATAGAAATTTTGAACTTCTTTGTTTAGTATAAATAATCTAATTTCATTTATCATTTTTATTGTCAGATTATATTATATTGTGTATTTGTTGGCCTATGCAGAAACATACTTTTATTTTTATTTTCATATCAATATTAAAATTATGTTTTATTTTTTTATTGAACACAATAACCTTATATTCATATTCACAGTAAATATTTATTTTATATAAAAACTAATTTAAAGAGAAATTCTTACATATTAAATTTATTCTCTATTATTTGTAACATTAGTTTTCTTTATTTTTGATAACAACTTTAACTATTTATTTTCTTATTATGTTTATAATTTACCTATTTATTTGATTATTAAGACAATTCATGAAAATGTAGTTATTTTACTTTACTCTTGATATTTGTTCTAGTTTAATTATGAAATTATTTTGATACATTTAATTAATTTATAATCATTCTAATCAAAATTGTTAGTTTAATTTTTTCCTTCAATTTTATTATTTTATTTAGTATATATGTGGCGTAAATAATTATATACTTAAAACAATAAAATTAGAATTGCTTAATATTAAACAAAAGTTAAGTGGGTAGGGGAGTTTATGCTTTGAGCAATATGTCGTCTTTTTCCTTTTGTTATTGTAGCGTGGCTGCATTTTTCTGTGGTTGATAAATTTGTTTGTTCTTTATAGTATAGATTTTTTATAAGTGTACGATACCGAACTATTACTTTCTGAGAAACAGAGTGTGTGCCGGTTTTGTAGAAGAAAATAACTCACAGTCTCTTAAATTAGCATTAACATTAGAGGAAAACTCTCTCGTGTTTGGGGACTCTGTCTATGCTGCTGTCAATGCTATGTATCACAACTACAATTCACGTTTAATTTAACAAATCAGAAAAGAAAGTATTATCAAATCGTAGACGAAAATAGATCTTTCCATAAGGTAGCTTATCCCTTAAATCAGAGAATTAGTTTGAAAATCTTCTTTTTAACCGAAAGATCTTCGTCTTCAATTCTATTCATGTAGTCAGGTTATAGAAATTAAAATTACTTGATGTATGATCTCAGATTGTCGTAATTATTCAAATTTGAGTTGGTATCTTGATAGGTTTCTGGTGAAGTAGTGTTTTGTTTACGTTAGCAATGAGAAAGTTCAAAAGAGCTTTGTTGTGACAACTGTATATCTAACAAAAAAAATATTTTGTGGAATTTGTTTCCCAATAATTCGTGAGAGCAATTAAGATGTTCAATTATCCTTTTTTCATCTTTGTTTGCTTTCTCTGATCGAGGTGTTTTAACTCCTTTTTTCTTCTTGTTCCCCAGCCAGTTCAGGAGCCAGTATTATTCGTTTGATTGCATGCCTTCAGTGGATCTTAGGTCATAGTGTGACTCTTAATTTATATCTTTAAACTTTTTTTATTTTGAAAAAGGGCTTATGTCTAAACTGTTTTTGATAGTACTGAATTTGTTTGGCCTAATGCTTCATGTGGATAGTCAATAAATTCCAAATTTAGTTGGTCTGAGTGCCAGATGCAACTACTGCATATAACAATTGACAGGTTAGTGTTATCTCTATAAATCCACTAAACAACTCCTAAGATCTATATAAATTCAGTATTACGGTTAATGAATCATGCTAGACAATACAGTTTATATTTTGATAGTTACGTTGTGGTTTTGCTGTTTTAGACTTTATGAAATTGATCAAGAAATGACATTGTTTCCTTCTCAATCTTTGACTGTTATATTCTCGTGTTACTTAACGGATTGTTACGTGAATTCGTCTGTTAGCTCATTCATACTCTGATATGTTTATATGCATATCTAAGAAAGTATCAATGAACAAAAGAAAGCACTTCCTTCACATATGCATATTTCCTTTTATACAAAGAATCATATACTTGAGTATATCTACAACACCGATTTGAGATTCTAAAATAGTGGAACTCGTTTTCAGGTATAGGTAAGAACATAAGCTAATCTCGCTTGGGTCGAGGAACTTCTTGTGTGGTTGGAAAGAAAACGAAGGATTGGTCAGAAGTGGATCGTGGGAACAGAGGATTGGTCACATTTCTGCCTTCCCAAAACCCCAGAAGCCGCGGTTCGGCAGTCGTGCTACAGTGATCATCTTTGAAGTCAGCAAGAAGGAGAGAGGCGTTTTCCACTATACTATGCGAAAGGTTTTGGTGTCAATATGGTTGTGAAAAGCAAAATGATGAAATTCACGAATACAAACTAACCTATTTATAGCTCTAGAATCCCCGACTGGAAGAAAATAAGAGATGCAATGAATGTGATATCATTATCATTAATTGGTACCTTAATGACAATGATTCAATGCATAAGGGATTCGTAATGGAGGAGAAGAATCCAGACGAAACAACGCAAAAGAAGTTCGACCAAGAGATCCCCCTGGAATATTCGTCTCACATAACCTCCATTCAACTCCTTTGTCGGTTTAAGTAAATCGAAGAAGACGATGAACCTTTGATATCGAAGACGGCGTCACCGTTGTGAATTCTGTTTTAATCGGGATGGAGTATTATTTTTCACAAAACTAAATAACTTATAGATAGCCCATATATTGTAAAGAAGAAAGCCATATATTGTAAAGAAGAAAGCCCATATTAAATCGATACAACACAACATAACAGTTAACTCGTTTAAAAGAGATACACATGTCACATGCTCAGTAAAGTAATTAATGACGTGACATTCTGTAGAAAGAGAGAACTCTAGTTATAATAATAGATAGATAGATAGATAGATTCCGTTAGTGCAATGAAAATATTAACTTCTAAAATTTTACTATTTTTTATCAATAAAAACAAGAATCTCACTGTTTAATTGGACCAAGGCGCATGAATCTCCAGTAGTAAAATACATTTTTTAATAGTAAAATATATTGACAGTAGTAAAGTACGTGATAGTTTAGTTTTTTTTTTTTTTTTTTTGTAAAAAACGTGATAGTTTAGTTATAGTTGTCAAAAAGTATATATTGACCATTAGATTGCGGAAATGCTTAATGGGGAAGATGTTAAATGAAACATATCCGGCTACAATGGGCCAATTATATATGTAGTATGAGCCCAATGGATCATGTCCATATCCCGTATTAGTAAAGCTTTTTTTTGGTTTGACACAACCCGTATTAGTAAAGCTAAAACCCTAGTTTTCATTCCTCTTCTCTTTATCTTTACTTCCAGACAAAGAGAAGCGTCGGCGCGGCTGTTACTTTACTTTCAGGTCAGAATTTTTTTTTAAAATGGCTTCCTTGCTCTGATGTATTACCTGGGATACGTTGTTGTTACACCCGTAGTTCATTTACTAGTTTGATGTTTCTCCGGTACCAAATTCTTTGAGTAGATTCTGGTTTGGACTCGTTAGTTATGTCACTCCCGTTAGTGACTTTTACTTGCTTGAAGTGACTTTTACTTGCTCTGTAGCTTGGAAATTTTGTATCTTTTTTTATATGTCAATAAGCAGTATGATTTACAGAGACTTGCTATTAAGCTCTGTTTTTTTTCTGTTTCTGATTTGCAGTTTGAAAGGATGGTGAGAATCAGTGTCCTAAATGATGCTCTTAAGAGCATGTACAATGCAGAGAAGAGGGGAAAGAGGCAGGTTATGATCAGGCCTTCTTCCAAAGTTATCATCAAGTTCCTTATCGTCATGCAAAAGCACGGTATGCTTATTTTCTGTTTTTTTAGGTAAGCTTTCTATATAGTTTCATTTGTAATGATGTGTCTTTCAACTCTTGTGATTGTTAGGTTACATTGGGGAGTTTGAGTATGTTGATGACCACAGGTCTGGTAAGATCGTTGTTGAGCTTAATGGAAGGCTCAACAAGTGTGGTGTTATCAGTCCTCGTTTTGATGTTGGTGTTAAGGAGATTGAGGGTTGGACAGCTCGTCTTCTTCCTTCCCGACAGGTTCCTATATTTTGCCTTCTCTACTCTCTGTTCTTTCTTGAAAATACCACCTCTAGCATAAACTTAATGCCTTAGAGAGATCAGAGCAGCAAGTCTCATGCGGTTCTTGTTCCGTTGCGGGCATAAATGAAACTGTTATCTTTTCTCTACTTCCTCTTGCACGTAGTCTTATTACTTCAAATCGGAAGAAAAGATCATACATCGTGCATAATCCCATTCTTTGGTTCTTAATATTAATCGGGAAAACGAATATATGTACTTATATAGGTATACCTGGTCACGGTGCTGTTTCTGTTAGGGTTTAATGGAGTCTTAGTACCCCTTGATCTTGAAATGTTACAAGTTGTTGAGCACGATGTTCTTTGTGCAGTTTGGTTACATTGTCCTGACAACCTCAGCTGGGATCATGGATCACGAAGAAGCAAGGAGAAAGAATGTGGGTGGCAAGGTTCTTGGCTTTTTTTACTGAAGCAGCTTCAAGAGGTCCCGTTCTATATCGGGCTGTATTTCGCTCTTTTTCGACTCGTCAATTGCTCTTTATGTACTCAGATGCTGCTTAGGACAAATAGACAAGTTTATTTCGGTTTTTGAGTTCCTCAGTCTTTTGCGAGTCATATGTTGCACTGCAGTTTGAGAAAATGGTTCTTAAAATATTGAATTAGCACGATTTTGCACATAAAAAATATACTTATCGTTAATTCAAAATATATGATCTTGCATTGAACGAATTAAGCTAGATTTTATTTTATTCAATTTAATATTAAAGTTTCTTCTAACCCAAAATATTAAAATCTCAAAAAATTTTAAAATAATCTTAAATTTTTTCTAATTTAACTTATTTATTAGGAATAAATGTGTTTAATGATTTTTTTTTTTTTTTTTTTTTTTGAACGACTGTGTTTAATGATTTTATGTAACGCACATACATTCTTTGAGTTACAAATTTCATCTTCATTATCTAGAATCAAGCAATTTCTACATTTCATGTGTTAACAAGAATGTTCAAGTGAACATTAGTTGTTGAACATCGAACGTTTGTTCGAATCTTCCAAACACGAAAAGAACTGACAGCTGGATCAAACGTCTTCATTCTGACTTTATGCGTTAGAAAAAATCAATGTTGCTGACAAAAGAAGTTGTCAAAGCTAACATATTAGCTAAAGCTGTAATGGATTGTAAAGGTAAATTATTTAAAAGATGTTTATTGATAGACAAGGAGATGATTACAAGGGGAAAGATAATAAAATTGCTAAGAGATTAATAATAAAATTGCTAAGAGATTAACAACAATAAGAGCATTCACAATGGTGTTATCACCAAACAAATCTTTAGCATTATTAAACTAATTTTTTTAATAGTTAAGAATTCTAATCCAAATTGTATGTCCAATGGTGTTTTCCAATTTGGAATTCTTAAGAATAAAAAAATATTAAATTTCAAAACAGGTGAAATTAAATTTTTTATTTATTGCATGATTAAATATAAATAATTATTAATCTTCATCACCAAATTTGTTCCAAATATTTTCAATTAAATCATTCTTCAATTGTTCATGTATACGTCTATCGCAAACATAAATTTAAATACCACGCATTTGGTCAAGATTTGGAGGCATGTATGTACTATAAGACATATCCACCCGTGAACTTCTGGTTACGTCTCTTTCTTCAAATTCAGATGTATCGTACTGAGTGTTTCCATCTCGTTTATTTTCGACTATCATATTATATAGTATGATACATGTCCTCAAAATTTTCTCTATCTTTTCCTTTTCCCATGAAAGAGCCAGGTTTTTCACAATCGCAAATCGAGCTTGCAATACTCCAAAAGCCCGCTCCACATCTTTTCGGGTTGCTTCTTGAACTTTAGCAAATAACTCTGCTTTAGGACCTTGACGGAGTGAGATAGATTGGATAAATGTTGACCAGTTTGGATTGATACCATCTCTGAGGTAGTACGCCAAATTATACATCCATCCGTTGATCACATACTTTACCGTGGGAGCTCGGCCTTGTAAAATGTCATCAAAAACAAGAGACCGATCGAGGACATTAATATCGTTTAAGGTACATGGAAGACAGAAAAAAACGTGTCATGTCCAAAAATCGTGTGAAGCTACAGCCTCTAAGAGAATTGAAGGTTTTCATGATCCACGGGTGTACTGTCCTTTCCAAGAGGTTGGGCAATTTTTCCACTTATAATGCATACAATCAATGCTTCCTACCATCCCAAGAAAACCGCGTATCTCTCTAATATCGAGTAGTCATTGAAGATCCTCTCGCATGGGTCTTCGTAGATACTCTTCGCAAAATAACTGGATTATTCCTTCATTAAAATGTTGTAAACACGAAATCGCCGTGCTTTCACCAAGTCGGAGATATTCATCAACCACGTCAGCCGCTGAACCATAAACAAGCATACGAATTGCTGCCATACATTTTTGTAGTGGAGAAAGACCAAACCTCCCGGTTGCATCTCTTATTTGTTGAAAGAATGGAATGTCTTCCGAGAGGCGATGGAGAATACACATGAATAAGTCCTTGTTCATACAAAAACGGCGTCTGAATAAATGTGCCAGAAATGTCAGATCTTTGCAGAAGTAGTCATTCCATAAACGGTTGTGTCCTGTTTCGCGGTCTCGTTCTATATAATCACGTTTCTTTTGCTTATTGGGTTGGGCCTCCACTATGTTGTTGTACGTATCTTCGAAGATATCGTCAAAAATTTAGTCCAATCTTTCTTCAATTTCATCGGATGAAGATGATGACATCTTGCTAATCCCTCCTTCGATTTACCTTGTTTATCCGAGGAGAGCAAAATCGCCTTCTCCTCGAGACTAACTTTTTTTTCTGGTGTTGAGTCATAAATGAGACTTTTTTTCCAAGACGCGAAACCCATTCCTCCACCAAACCAATCCGTGCTGCCACGTCAACAAGGACCAACTGATTTTAATCCTTAATTACGGACTGCTCCTTAGCTTATTTAGGTGTTATATTATTATACTAAGTAATCACTTAGGATTATGCGCTAATGATTCATTATAATCCCCCGTTGCGGATGGTCTAAGTCAATAACGTAAACTATGAAACCTTAATATTATACTGAATTGTTCATGTTTGTGAATTCTTTTTATTTATTCTCGATCTCATCTCTTTATAGTCATCTTCTTTCCTTATTTTCCTCAACTTGGCCTATCTTTTCGCGGCCTTATTCCTGGATGTAATTATGCCCAGTCTGACCGATTTTACTATGTCTTATTTTTACATCATTCAACTCGTCGGAATTTTGGATAACAAGTTGAATGATAAGTTTAGATTTCCAACTTGGGGAATTTACTTTGACATGAGAATGTCTTTCAACTCGGCTTCTATGAAATTGAATATGAATGTGACAACATTAAGGTGTCATTCATTTCAGCTTGTTTATTGTAACATTGTTTGTGTTTTTTTTAACTTTTCCCTCTTTGTTTCTAAAACAAGATGAATGTGACACACTGAGATGTCTTTCATCGAGTCAAGTTTACTGTGACATTTTTTATGTCTTTTAACTCAAGGAGTTTACTGTGATACCGATGTGTCTTTCTACTCAACCTCAAAACTTTATATTTTGTTGTTGTTGTACAACTCAACATATTAAAGCTTCTTACGTACACACGAAGACGATCAAACCATCCATAGTTTTTTTTTTTGCAGGAGATGTTCTCTTATTTAAAGAACCGTTTGAGATTTACAGAGTTCCATGATCTCGACACGGGGTCTCCAAATGATGTCTCAAGTCGGTAGACACCTAGTTTTGACGACTTTGACATTCTTGTATGGACCTTTCCCGTTTGCCAACATCCCATTCTCTAGTGTTTTCAAACACTTTTCTCAGAACGAGATTGTCGAGTGCAAGGGCCTTGTTCAAACTTTGATGTTGTAATAATTCTTGGTAAGGTGTTGGTAGTTTTAGATTTAAAGATAATGCTTGATCTCGATGTTCTTGTATTTCGTCTAAGGCATCAACCATCATTTTCTTGTTTGGCTTGATGTTATGTGGCATCTTAGATAATCTAAGACTGATAATGTTAATCTTGAGAGGAGCCATTTCTTCCACACTGTACGCCAAGAAGAATGGTGTTTTGTTAGTTTTTCCTCTCAGTGTCTTTTTTTTGTGACTAGATGAGACCTTCCGATTCGTCTGTCCAGTGACATTTCTTAAAGTCAAGGCATTTCTTAATAGAGTTGGTTACATTATAAGACACATTTTGTCTTTGTCTTACATAATAAGACACATTGCACATGTAAAACACTTTTCCTTTACTTTTCTTTGTCTTGAGACATAACAAAGAAAATACTAACCCCCCCCCCATTGTGAATGAGCACATGTGCTTCCCAGACCGAAACTAGTTCGGTTTATTCTTTTGGTTCATTTGTTTTGCTGTCAACATTAAGTTTATAGATTTATTGATTGTCGTGTCCTTTTTTAACCGTCGGATCTAGATCTATTTTTTTTAGTTTGGGTGTGTTGTTGAAAGGGTAGGTGTGGATGGCTAAACCGTGGCCGGGGTTGTTATGAATAAGAGGAGTGTGGTTTGGAGATGCGTGGATGGGGGAAGTGCGGATGGGAGAAGTGTGGACGGGGTGATGGGTGTGTTGTTGAAAGGGTAGGTGTGTGTAGGGGAGTTGTGGATGGCTAAATCGTGGTTGAGGTTGTTATAAACATGAGGAGTGTGGTTTGGAGATGTGTGGATTGGAGAAGTGTGGATGGGTGTAGTTCTGCCGGCGGAGACGGTGGTTCTTTTGATTATTACCTGGAAAAAAAGACGGTGAGATCTAGTTATTAAGGATGAGACAAGTAAAAAAAATCCGAAAACAAACAATAAATTGGATAGCGAATCGAGAAAATAAAGGTGTAGTTTCTGAACAAATTCGCATCTATAAATCCTAATATGAACATAGTAAGTGAAATTAGGAAAAATCAAATCTTTCATGACTTCAACTGGAAAAACAGAAAACTGAAACTGGGGGATTGAACGTAAAGACTGAAACAGCGGTGTTATGGAGACGACAATGGAAGGCAAGTGTGTGAGGAACGGCGGTGTTACAGAAAGGAAAATAGAAGGGGGTGTGTGAGGAACGGTGGGAGGAAAGACGAGATGAGAATTGACGGTATCGATTTCTAGGATTTTTCCACATTGCCGCTTAGAACAACACGAGAAAATAAGAGATGAGAATGAGGTATAATTTTTTAGGTTTGGTACGTGTAGTTTACTAAATTTGAATTTCAAAATCGAGAAAGGTACATTAAGTAAACCGAATCCGGTTCTACTTTCTCCAACATAAGAGTATAGAAGACTTTGACTAATGAGAAAGTATGTGACATGTGGAATGTGTCTTGGATTGTAAATCTAAAGATATAAAGTGTTTTGGAAAGTAAAATATTCTTCTTAATAAGATCGATGATGATTTTGTTGGTTTCTTTAACTAGTGATTTCCACAGCCTCTCCATTATCCTCTAATGGCAAGTTTTGTTGTAGTCCTGACGAACTACCAAAACGATCAAACTCTCATGGTGGTCAAATGCACCAAAGACCAATTAATCCACCAAAATATGAGAAAAGAATATCTCCAAAGACCAAATCACAACTGTTCCACTTGGTAGTGCAACACCCTCCAGCGAGGTCACTAACAG